TATTAATTAATAATTACTATTCAATTTTTAGTAATATTTATATATAACTAATAATAATTAACATTAATGAGGTTATAATTAGAAAAAATGACAAAAAAACTACTAAAACGCTACTACAAGTAACGTTTTAATAAACTAGCTTATGTGCATCGAAACGTGTACAAACTAGCTTATGTGCATTCAAACGTGTACACGGGAAATGAGCTAGTTTATGTGCATCGAAACGTGTATAAACTAGCTTATGTGCATCCAAACGTAAACAAACTAGCTTATGTGCATTCAAACGTGTACATAGAAAATAAGCTAGCTTATGTGTATTTAAACGTGTATATATTTGATTAAAAAACAATAAATAAAAGAAGAAGATAAAATCTAAGAATAGAAGTGATGTGATGTGAAAAGCAAGAAGAAAAAGACAGTTGAGAGTAATGATAAGATGATCTACAAAAAGATGCTCAAAATCTTGTTTAGGGTTTGGGGGCTTTAAAATTGTTCACTTGGTTCATGAATCTTCAAGGGTCCATTGCATTGACTTTCACTATAAAATTATCACAATAACCCCATATCTTTTCAACAACTTGTAGCTTTCTAATAATTCATTTCTTTTTAAAGGGTAGATATAAACTTATATTATATATATAAATCTTGACCGTTCAACGTTTCAAAAGCTATCATGAGTTGTATGGTACATGAAATAATTCAAAACGGTCTTTATCATCCCAATTGAAAATATATTTTATGCAATCTGTGTCGACAATCGTCTACTACTTTTGGAACGGAATTTATAGAATCTTCATATGGAACGGTAGTTTTTGAAAGTGACGGGTTTTCACTCGTGACGAGTTATATAAGATAAATTCAAGTTTTGTATGATTAATTTAATTTAAAAACACGTGTTAATAAGTTTCGACTGCTAATCAGATACTTATAATTAATTTCAATGACACCGATTAATAGACCCAATGATCAAAAATTGATTTCGTCGATATATTATAATGATTGTTAATGAATATATAAATAAAGGGTTGTTTGACAATTGCTTAATAGTTTGGTGCAAAATGATTTAATGGTCAAGAATGATTAAGAGGCTCTCATGATATAGTGCAAAATGAAATATAATTGTTTGCCAATTGTGTACAATAAAATTAAGGCTCTTAATCATTATAAGAGATCCATGATATAAAATCATTCATAAAGTTTTAGAACCATTAAAAAACAAAACTTGTTTTTCCCATAAATATTCTAAACCCATTTAAGAACTTCATCTTTTTAGATGTCCCCAAAGTCTTGGATTTTTTAATGTAAAAAAAAAGACATGTAGTTTGGAAGGTTTTAGAGGGGGTGAAAGTGTAAAATTGAAGCATGCATTATTGGGGAAGTCCATAAGTCTAATATGGAAGAACAGGCATCTGTTTTTTGAGTCAGATTGAGATGCAAAATGTTGGAAGAAGCCATTATTTAAACAGCATTTACAGAGATGAAGGTTTGAAGATGTTGGTGAAAGCAGAGACAGATCTCAACCCAAATAAAACTGTTTTTATGATCATGGGATTGTAAACCTACACAAAATCATCATGGTTCAAAGAACAGACAAACACATCAAGACTCAGAATCAAATCATTCCCATTTTTTTTTTTTTAATTTTTGATGTGTTTTTAAGAAAACGTTTGCTTGTTTATGTGTTTTCGGTATTCTCTTCCATCAACAAAAGATACAAGAGTTTAGTGGGAACGGAAAATCCATACTGATTGATACGGGAAGTTTTTTTTCTTCACATATATGCTTATGACAATGTGGTGTACTTATTGACTTATTTCGGTGTGGTACCGGTAATAAGCACTCTTAAGTGTTTGGATAAACAACTTATACCGGTGCGAAACCGGTAATAAGAAGTTTTTGAAGAAGTTAAACTCTTCTGACTTATAATAAGTTGATTAGTGTTTTTGTAGAAAAGTATAAGTTGTTTTGAATAAGCAATCCCAAACACCCCTAAGATTTGGTTCACATAATTACAAGATTAGATATTGAATGATTAAATAACACTTAGAAGGGTGTTTATGTTATCAACTTACATGTGTTTGATTAATAATTGGAACATTTTTTGTATACTTTTTTTTATAAGTGTTGTTCATGTCGTATCGTAAAATAATGACATCTGAAAGAGAATTTAAATAATTGTCTTTAAAAGAGACTGTATTTCTATTTTCTAGGCAAATTATGGACAATCGTTGAAGTACTCTTCCTTTAGATGTCACTTGATGAAAAATGTACTTTTATGATGCATAGAAATGATTTTCTTAATTATTTTAATCAAACAATAAAGGGCCGTTTGGATCATGGGAATTGAAAGAAATTGGAATGTCCAATCATTTGACCAAATTCCAAATAGAGTGTTTGGTTCATGGAATAAGACTATGTAATCCTTTCAATTCCAGTCGATTCCTTTACGCACAGATTTTACAATTTCATGGCAATATGCTAGGATTTCAATTCCTTTCCTACAGATTCCTTCTCTAATCCAATTCCATGCAACCAAACGCAATCACAAGACATGGTCAAGATTTCATTTCACTCCCTCAAAGTCAAATTCATTTGATGAATTCCAATTCCATCGAATTTCATTCTACGAATCAAACGCCCCCTAAAGTTTTAAGAGGTATTTTAAAATATATTTTTAAAATGATTAAATGTAATTTTTGAACAATCAATCAAAAATAATTATATAAATTTTCATTTATCTCAATAATAAGTTTTTATGTAGTGACATTATAACAATAACTTACCATTTATATGCTTAATGTAGCACCAAATGTGTCCCATTCTTGCAATTTCTTTATATATTTATACTATATTATAAAAAAATTACAAAAACTCTTAAAAACCACTTTTTATGCATGAAGTGCTATATATTGATGCATATTACTTAAGATTCAAGATTACAAGTAAATTATGCATAAGTACAACTTATTAAAGCTTCATTTTTGAATTCGTGTAATCAACTACGGATAAACATAACCAAATAGAGAATAAACATCTCATTTTAAAATATAAAAAATCTAAAATATAATTAGGATAATCATCGAGTTCTAACAAAATAATTAATTATTATTTTTATAAGAAAATTATATTATTAAACAAAATATAAATTACTTCGTTATCAAACATAAATTAAATTATAATAAAAAAATGAATTAAATAATTATACAAAAAATAAGAATTTTAAATAGTTAATTTGATACTAATTTCGATATATTTTTGTCCGATTTTTATGATATCTTCAAATTTATATTTTATTCAAAAATAAAAACATCATCACTTTTTCAAAATCACATAAGACTATACTATAACATTGACTGAGATAAAAGAATAAAGTGAAATATTAAAATCAAAATGTATCATATATTACTAAACACTTCTTTGTATACAACATTCGTTGTTTTACTGTCAATAATATCATCATCATCCTTAATTAGTACTTTCAAACATTGCTTGCTTTTGACTTTGGATAAAGCAACATATAACTGACCATGCGTGAATACCGATTGTCTTAGAAATAAACCAACTTTTGATAATGATTGTCCTTGGCTCTTATTATTAATTAATAAGGTATTAATATTCTTTTAATAATTATATAAATTAATTAAATTCACATTATTATTAATTAATTAATTTAAGTACACGTGTGCCCAAAGTTACTTATTTATTAGGTATATATATGTTATAAATTAATTAACTTTATATTATTATTAATTAATAAGGTATTAATATTCTTTTAATAACTATATAAATTAATTAAGTTCACATTATTATTAATTAATTAAGTATTAAGAGTACATATTCTTCTAATTTCTTTTCCTGGGTAATATTGTTTTGTGAAAAATGCTTAAAAAATCCGAATTTGAAATTTTAAACCCGGTTTTGATGACTACTCCAGAATTAAATTCAGACGTGAATTTTTCCAGAGTTATGTTATAAGTCTGAGGGTCGTAAGTGAAAATTGTGTCTAGATACATGTTTAGCCGGGGAAAATCAATAACCGTCGCACAGAAACATGACATGTGTCCCCAAAGTTACTTATTTATTAGGGTTATAGATATAGATATATATATATATATATATACACACACGCATACATACAGGGGCCCATTCAAGGGAGAACTGATTAGTTGTGGTAACTGTGAGATCCAATGTCAATCATAAATTAATGGATAAATTAGGAAATTAATAATTATGATAGTTTGAGTTAAAATTATAATTAGAGGGCATTTTAGATATTTTTAAAAAACTCCTATCTCATCTCTCCGACCTCCAATCTCCGGCCTCCGGTGAACATTAATCCGGCAAGTACCAAGTAATCACAAAGATACACARTGTGATACCCATTGTGATATACTGTGATACCATTGTGATACCAACTATGATACCAACTCAAAAATTAAAATAATGAGGATGATAATATCCATGATTAACATCCTCTACAATAAAAATGATTAATCAACTTCTTATAATTACAAAAATATGAACAAAATGAAAAATTATGATTGGTGGAATGAGGTTTTTACAGTTTTTACAAATTAAGCTGTTTTCATTTGATTTCTCCCCTATATATATATATATATATAAAGAGAGAGAGAGAGAGAGAGAAAGAGAGGAGCAATCAAATGAAAATCATCCTCATTTGTAAAAACCGTACAAAATCACCCTCATACGTCGATTTCATTGTTTAATCTTATGAAATTTTTTCATGAAATTGTTTAATCTTATGAAATTGTTTCATATAATATTTTTTTTGATGAATTTGTTTCATATATGGTTATGAAATTGTTTCATATAATATTTAATGAAATTTTAATGAAAYTGTTTCATGTATTTCTCTAAAATTAAAATAATGAAGATGATAATATCCATGATTAACACCCTCCACAATAAAAATGTTTAATCAACCTCTCATAATTACAAAAAAATGAACAAAATGAAAAATTATTATTGGTTGAATGAGGTTCTATGGTTGAGATTGGATTCCACGATTACCACAAACTAACCAGTACTCCTTTGAATAGGCCTATATATATACCTTCCAATTTACCCTAAATCTCTTTATGTCTAAATTCCGTTTATATCTGATCATGCTAACTCTCCTTCTAATTATTTTCCCTTCCATTTTCGAAATGCTACGATTATCTACACTTCTAAATATTATCGGCTTGTAAATTGAAGCAACTTGAGAAAATCATCTGAGTTATTCTAGTCGAAGTTAGGCCCCCTCCCCACTTTACCATAAACAAATGGTTAAATTATGACTTTGCTTACAAACTTCAACAAATTCAGATTTTTGCTCAATTGTTTAATATCTACGAGCCACTAAAATTTGAGAATTTATCACTTAGGTTTTTAACATGTACAAGTTGGTAAAATTTAGAAATTATCAAAATCGTACCACCCGGTCTTTGGTAACTATCATAACTCGGATCCGAATTATTGTTTTTAAGTTGCTTTGTTTTCTAAGATTTACATTTTGATAAAATTTCAGGATTTTCAAAAATAATAAGTTGCCAAAATCATAATCACATTTATTGAAATCGAGTAGGGATTGTAATTTGTCCCGACCCAGTGGGATACCCGGTTCATTCGACCCAAACGGGGACGGGGATTCCCCACTAAAACAGGTCCCAAGGCCGGAGATCCCAGGTAGACTCAAATCGGAGCCGGGGGATATTACTCAAACCGGGGCCAGGGATTCCCAATAAAATCAAACTAACGGATATTCTTCATGGAGTTTGACCGGATTTTGATCAAGGATTGATAGAGATTTGACCGGGGACGGGAGGATGTTACTACAAACCGGAGCCAGGGCCGGGGATTACAAAACCCATCCCATCCCCTCCCCGCCCCGTTGCCATGCCCAAAATCGAGAGGATTTAGCTACTTATTTGTGAATAAAGTTACTCATTTCTTTTTAATATCTACAAGCTAATAAACTTATGAAATGGTAACTTGTTCGTAAACATAAGCATAATTTTCATACAGCCTCGTAAAAAATTCATATCATAACCCATTTTTCCTAAGTAAACTTTGAGGTCCATCACATCTCTTAACTCGGTTTAGAATAAATTTAGAAGTTATAGATTATCGTAACTATTTCATAAACGAAAAGGAAAATATGAAAAACGCAAGTACAGAAGTATTTCTACGTGTTCTGCTATTTCTTCCATCACAAAAATGAATTACATGTTAATCACCAACGTCTCTCTCTGCATTGCATTGGATAATAACGTCATTAGTTTCCTTCGTAATGTGATTGAATCAGATTACAAGTTGTAAATAAAAAAGGAAACACGATCATACCTTCTTTTAACGCTTGCGTTCGGTTCTCCACTTGTACACTGGTCTAGAAGTTGGGCACACAATCTCGTCTTCACGTAGCTTTCGTTTTTTACCCTTTTTCTGCTCCAATCCAAAAGTATATCAACCATAATCATTGAAATTGTTTTTGAGTTTGAGCAAATTAATAACATACCTGCAATTCTTGTTTCATGGCCATTTCACTATATACTTTCTCCAACTGTTGGACTCTGCTTCTTCTGGCCTCCACCTCTCTGTAGGAAGCAGCTGTCCTCCTGCACATAAATCATCAATTAACTTATTTGAAACAATGGTATTCATGTAATCATTAATTTTGGTTTTGTCTTTGTATACTGTGTCATGTTCTAAAACAACATGTAATAAATGTATTTCTGAAGAAATATGTTGAAATACTTCGGATTTTTATCATCTATTATTAACTGCTGCTTAAAAACACTACATAATATACAAAGACACAAAATGCCAAAATCAATATGAGTTTTAAACAAATTGAGATGAGTTAGTATACTAGTGAAAATAGATTAATGTCAATTACACAAATAGAAACACATAAATGGGTTTTGGGGCGAAAATACAGAAAAATTATGAAAAAATTAGATAAACGTTTGTACTTTGTATTCCCCTTATTGAGTCGGTTCATCCCTAGTCCCCTCTCGTTGTAATCTCGTTCAAGCTTCAGAGGTGCGTACAAAGGTGAAAAAATGGGGAATTGTGAAGTCATTCAAACTCGAGTGTGTTCCCATGTTCATAAATCAAAATGGTAGATCCAGAAGTCTATTGAAATTTGTCGCTTGGACCTTTGCCCTTTGGAGGTTTGGTGGATAAAGTAAGAATTCAGGACCGGATAACAAAGAGGCCGATAAAAAATTTTAAAAACTTACAATGCAAATAAAGCCAAGTCCATTAACTGGTAAAAAAGACAGTGGCGCCTTAGCCCTCTACTGCCCCTATGGGCCTCAGCCTCCGGTGGGTTTTGATTATCTGGGGCAACATGCTACTTTCGGCTATAGGGCGTTACAATTAGAAATACAAAGCTTCACTTAGAAAAGCAATAGACTGCCATATACGGAAGAAGATGATAATGATGATACTATGATGGTCATGAGCTGAAAGAATATAAAAGATTAATGTGATCAATATGTGCTCAATCAATACATGCTACTTGGATAGACTTTCCTGGAAAAATAATCAACTTAAGGGCCTGTTTGTTAGCAACTTAACGAAATTAATGGGACTCGCAGCTTATTCGGTGAGCTAGATATATATGACTGCTTGGCAGCAGCTTAATGAAATAGAAAATGGTTTTTTCAGTAAGCTTCTAGGGGGAGCTTTAAGCAGAAAGCCACATTTTTTCCTAACCTGCCCCTCCCAATTAGAAAACACACTCCTTCCACCTATGAAAAAACCCTCCCAATCTACACAGACCAATTAATCCCCATAGACAGCTTTATCCATACAAAACTTGATGGAAAACCAACCAACCAGCGCTTAAGATCCCTTGAGTAAGACCTTTTAATTACCGTGAAAGTAGCATACTCTTTCAATTTATATTCATTGCAAATGATCTGCTATACCTAAAATAAACACAACATGAACCATACAACCTATCATATTCACATGTGACTGAAACAAAGAACAAGACTGATCCATGTAGAGCATTTGTTTTCAATACAAGTAACATTAGACCTTCTAAAACACATCCTCCAGCAAAGCATCCACTAAAGCGGTTATCTCTACGATAAAAATAAAAAAATTACACACATGAACAAGCTAACAAGTTACTTTACCTTTTGATTTTATCAGGCAAGTCCTCGAAAGCTTGCATTCCACGAACACTCTTCGTTTCTGATAGTATTCTCTTAGCCTCCTCCCTGTAGAAGTTTAAATATTTAACCATGAATAAATTTAGGGAGAGCACCGGTCATGCACCAGACAATAACTTGATATCAGCACAATATTAATCAAGTCCAGAATAAGTGTTATCACTTAATTTCCAGCATACACGTGTAAAAGAAAGAAGCTCATGAGGTTCAGACCTATCTTCAGCATAGTATACATGTCTGTTTGATGGCTGAGAATCAAATGAGTGCAGTGTTGCAGTTAGCTTTTCAAGTTTCTGCATCAAATGAAAATGGTTTTAGCAGGAAATACTCTCGAAATTTTCAAACATAAGAGAAGAACGCGATTACTGCAATATTCCACCTTTTTCTCAGATTGAACTTTCTGCAAGATATAACCTATATCTTGTGACTTCATCAACATGAGTTCTTCTTGAGTGTATTGGTTTGCTTCACTCCTGCAGCATATACAACAATTTGACGTTGGTTTTTAATTGATTTATTTGAGTGGGGACCCAGAATACGAGGGGGGAGGGGGTAAGAGGGAGGGGACGATTGAAATTGTATAAGCAGATTACGTTTGTCTATGTACTCCATTAACAGTTTTGGAGTTGATCATCTTGAAGTAAAATTCATCCGGGTTCCTAAATGCTGCCTTTTCTTTGAGTTTCTGTTGTGGAAAGTCACAGTAATATTTTTAGTCACTTCCAGAAAGAAAGAAACAGTTGTGCAATGCGTTAGTCCAACAATGCAATCACCCAAAAATGTCTTTTACCTGCAAGTATTCCTCCTTCTTATGGAAGGCCTTTGCACGGACAACATAGTCCTTGTGTTTCTCAAGAAGCCCAAATCTTTTCCTTTCCTTTCTGAATGCAAGTCGCCAAGTAAGAAATGTAAGAACAAGAAGGAAAAAATTGAGGAACATTTATGGAACAGAGGAAATCAAAGTAATATAAGCACTCACGGTTGAGCTCTTTCCTTGTGAGCCCGTCTATGAACAGCATTTCTTAGGGATGACATCTCTAATAATTAGAACAGCTGGCTGCAAAATAAGACGAGCAAGGAAGGTCCTATCATTTCAAATTTAATTGACTGTAACATTCCATTGTGGACGTATTACACTAGAAAAAATGACACAGCTTCACATTGATTCTCAGATATGCACATTTTGACTTCTTTTTCCTAGAGCAAAAGCAGGTGAAGTTACATGAATAATTTTCAGTCAAAGCATTTCATCAACTGACCTGACCCTATCTAGAAACACTTTCACCTTAAGAAAACAACTGCAACGAGTGTATATCTTACCATATACTGTAATACTTCTCTCATCATTCCAATACACAACACATTTGGCTTTTGACGCCTTGTCCAGTGCTTTATTACCAACTTAATATACACTTCAATTTTAATATTTAACTCTGCTACTCATAAATCCAAGTTTTGAAGGAAGTATGCAGCAATTTAATATCAACATTACTCGGTACGTAGTACCCATTACAAATTTCATGGTATTTTTTAACAGGAGACTTGAAACCGTATGAAGTTTAACGTTAAAGTAACTAATGACATCTGAATCTACAGTGTAGCTCTTTTTTGTCTGAGAAACGGTGAGAATTCAATATCAATAAATCTAGGGATCTGTTTTGAGATTCTCAAAATTCTTTTTTTGTCTAAGAACAGTACCAATGACACTGAAGCATCATTTTCTTGTTAAGTTTACATTTTCTTAAAAACATAATACAAAACCACAACAAAAACTTGCACGAAGACACATCATACCTTAGATGTTATACAATCACCACATCATTATTCCCAAAAGTTTTAATTGTTTGTCTCAATATGGACAGAGGGTCCTCTTACATAAAACAAATATCCCAACAATTTGCAAACATTGTCAATTACCCCAATATTTCACTTACACTTAGATTCCCAACTCCAAACTAAATGTGTAAATTGTGAAGTAACGTAACAGAAGCATTACGCAAAGTTCCCAAACAAAACAACAGAAAAATGTCAAAGTTTAAGTTCCCAAATCCAAACTAAATGAAAACATAACTCAGAAGCATTCAAGATAACAGAAACATTAAGCATATTCCAAAACAAACATGCCAACTAATCAAGTCTAAGCCAGCGATACTATTTGACTAAACCAAATAAACCCTAGAAATTTCAATTTACAGAGAGGGGGAGATGTTATACCGTGAGAGGCAGAGAAAGCAATAGGTTGCCGCCTTGACGGAGCCCGGACGACGAGAGCTTGAAGTCGCGAGACTTGTGGATTCAGACAGCGTGATTCGTGATTGAACTCTCGAACGGAAATCGTGAGCCGTTACAGAGTTGAGAACTGAGATGGCGAGAGCTATTATTCTGTGGTTTTGGGCTAATATGTGTTCTTTTAAGTTTTAAGTGAGAGTGGGCTTAGGCTTAGGCTGCCAGCTGCCTATGGGCCAAGCTGGCTCCGCCTGTATAAATGAAGTGATAATAGAATGAGCAAATTACAAATTTCGTCCCTAGGCTTATATGAAAATTTAGATTAGATCCCTCAAATAAAATAATTACAAACATGGTCACCAGAGTTTTAATTTTGTTATGTATCAGATGCATGTTTTTAACTTCATTAACTTAACTCTGTTAAATCAAAGGTCTTTTAGTTATTTTACATCTTTTAAATAAATGTATAATTATTATTCTTTATATATTACTTGTGAAAAGCACCTCGTGCACCACCATCTCTAGGTTGAAAACCTAGGTAACAAAACTAAATCCAAATCAAGAATACAGTTATGTGTTATGAATCTGGTCAGAGTTTAGCTTATAAGACTTGATCAACCTTTCATCTTCACAATATAAACACTAAAGTTTATGATAATTCATATGTGAATAGTTTATTTCACACATTATCAAGAACAAATGACAGTGGTTTCAAATCCATATTCAGGGTGTTTAAAACATGAAACCTTTTACTGTGTTCAGAAAAATTCTCAACCGCGTTTCAAATTTGATCACTTTCTTTTACTTTTCATCATATGCAGTAGAATAAGCAAAGAATAACAATTTGTCTTGGAGCTTTGAGGAGATGAAGATCGCCAACAATGGTGAGCCAAATCCCTCCTTGGGGAGGGCGAGCCATGCATACGCTCAGAGCCCACAAAGAATTAGTAACGAAAAGAAATACAACTTTTTTTGTACCTAGCTAATAGGACTTAAAAGATTTAGGATTATATCAAGGGCCCGTACATATATTAATTAATCACATTCGTGAAAGAAAAAAAAAAGTAAAATGTAATTGGTTGTTCATTTTTTTAGTATTAGTTATTGTTTATCTAAGTTTTTTTATTTAGTATCAAAGTCTTAAAATCTGCCTAGAAAACCTTAATATATTCTCTATCATTCATCTTCTGTCGACTCTTTTGATTATTACATTCGCATGAATTCTATTTTTGTATTAGAATATAGCAGATATAGATTTCTTGTTATTAACTAAAAAACCTCGTACCTTTTGAAAAAAATTAGCAACCATATGAGATGGTCCAACTTATATCTATATTTAGGATTTCAAAACTACCCTTGTTTTTTTTTTCCATACATTATTGACACCTTTACCTATATAGAGTACATGATTTATAAGTATTTTCCTATCTCTAAAACAAGAATAAAATCTCAAGCTATAACTAACATGAGCTTTTGATGCTAAAATTGATGGTTTCAAAAAGTTTGTTTTAACCAAAGGGTGATGGAGAATATTAATATGGAGTGAGATGAAAACTCAATTTATTTATATTGGTCTACAAAGAGATAAATAGTTATTCTGAAGTCTGAATAGTAGACATCGTGACCCCAAATAATGTCAATTTATAAGGTATATCATAGGATATTTTTTTTATGGTGGAACGGGTTGACAATATCATGTAAAATGATATTTATATAATACTAATCAGAAATAATTATAGATTGATTTTGCGTTTAAAAATATTTGGAAAAACAATTTTATGTGAATTCTTAGTATTTCTTGAACTCAATGTTATTTTTGGGAAAATAAAATTGTATATATTAAGAGAGCTTTTTTAGATCTCGTCTGGCGCCTATAAATATTAGGAATGGGTCTGGGTGAGACCGACAGAAAAGACGCTGAATAAAGTTGTAGAAACCGAAGGCCGTAATTTCACACACCGTGCGTGTATTTCTACCAGCCCACTGGCACCGCCAACTTCTTCGATTTGAAGGTGATGAAGGATGCTCTGAGACAGGCGTTGGATCCATTTTACTCGATAGGAGGACGATTATCGAGAGATGAAGATGGCCAGATTGAAATCAATTGTCAAGGCCAAGGCATGTTGTTGGTGGAAGTGAAATCTGATGGCATTAATCAACTATTTCGATGACTTTACTTCGACGTCGGAGCGTCGGAAGCTTTTTCGACAATCGATTATTCTGTGGAATCAAATCATATTCTTTGGGTTGGGCGGTTTTTGAGATTTTTACAACCCAACCCAATTATGATGGTTTGGAAAATCTCAACCCAACCCAACCCATTCAAAAGTATAACCCAACCCTTGCGGGTTAGGGAAGGTTGGGTTGGGTTGGCGGGTTACAAAAATTCACAAAGTTGGCAAATGAAATATGATAAATAATACTAAAAATATACCCAACAAAGTTGTTAAACATATTCTTTGTCCGACCTTTGTCAACTCTTTCTTCAATTTAATTCTCTCATCACAAAACAACCGCTAAACATCTCTAGCAACAGTCACTCTACTAGGAACACTAAATTGTGGTTGCAACTCATGAACAAGTTCTCTAAATCCTTCATCCTCTACGACACTAAAGAGTTGTTTATTCTTAAGCACAAACCTAATCACGACTTTGTGACATCTCTCTTTATTAAATGACACCTCATTTTCAATGATAGTATGAAAGCTAAGCAATTTTTGTTTTTTTTTATCGCTAATGTTATCTAAATACTGTTTACATTGGTGTCTTAAGTGATTCCACAAAGAACTTGTGCCAATTTTCTTGCTATGGTAAGCATAGTCTTTTTCACAATAATTACAAACACATCTAGAGTCCTTTTTTAAAAAGTGATCACAAACGTTTGAAGTCCTACCACCCCTTTTCTTAGACGAGTTTAGTTCTTTATCTTCGATTTTTGGAGGTTTAGGAGTATTTTCCAATGCTCCTATACATAGTCAATTAAGGATAACATTTTCAAAAAATATGTAAACCAGTAAACCACATGAAATATTTAGTATATGATCTCATAGACAAGTAAATCTCAAGGAGTTTTTATTCAATAAAAGGTTTTTAGAAGTAGCAGAAAACAAGCAGCCAAGCAGAAATTAGCTGAAAACAAGTGACAAAAGTCATACCTATAGCAAGCAGAAAACGATTTACTCACCGACTCACAACAACCACAATCTCGTAGCAAGTAAGCAACCACAGTCTCGTAGGTCGTAGCAAGTAGAAAAGGATTCGGGAACTTGAGAAGCATAATTGGGAGTACGAATTAGGGACGAGAATAAGAGCAGTTTGGTTGGCAGCAAGCGAAAAACCCAGTCCGGTCGGCAGCAAGCCAACAACCACAATTCGGTCGGCACTCTCAGATTTAGGGACGTTAGACGAGTAGACCATAGGAGAACGTGAAGTCGAGAATTAAATCAGTGAATTGAATTGGAGTATTGGTCCTATTGGACTTGACCTAGACAATAGTTGGATTACGTTTGGTCTATAAATTGGACAAGTGATACATGTATTTAATTTTTAGGTTGTACATTAGACTAAAAAATATACATATTTTTGGGCTGTAAATTATAACTTTGTAAATATCATATATATATATATATATATATGTATATGTATATATATACACACACATAATTTTATAAAAATAATATATATTAGTGGCGGGTTAACGGTTTGGGTTGGGTTGAGTTATACTAACACAATTTCAACCCTCCTAATTAATGTTTGACGGGTTGGATTTAATTGGGTTGTTAGCGGGTTGGGTTGTGCGGGTTTTACGGGTTGACGGTTTTTTGTACAACCATAGGGGAAAATATGTATGCGATTATACGTTGATATGTGAAGGAGATAGAATACCAGAGATGGGTGAGGGAGAGGGAGTTTACCGTCGAAAATGGAGATGGGGGAAGCCGATGGAAATCTGTGGCTCTCTCTCTATGTGTGTCTATATATATATATATATATTACAGGAAGAATCAAAGGTTGTTTAATGAGAAGCTTTCTATCATATTTATCTTTTTTTTTCTCATTATTTTGATTTATATATAATATATAATCAACACATTAATTGATAACCTTTCATTTTCGTATTTTTTAACTCCATTTTTATTATTCTATAAAGAAAATTTGAATCCACAAATATATAAAACTATATATAATTTTGTTTACATAAATATATGTATATTTTCAATTACATGACAATTGAAAAATAAATCATCAAAATCAATCGATATATATATATATATACACACACTAGAAGAGTACTCGTGCAATGCATCGAAATACATCTTGATTTTAATATTTCGTTTTATTCTTTTTTATGTCGATATAATACGGTTTTATGTGGTTTTGAGAAAACGATAATGTTTATATTTTTGAATAAAATATAAATTTGAAAATATTATTAAACTTTGAAAAAAAAATACCGATATCAGTATCAAATTAACTTTTTTAAAAGTTCTTGTGTTTTGGTGTAATTTCTTTAATTCAATTTTTTAATTATAATTTAATTTAGGTCTAGTAACAAAGAAATTTAATTTAGGTTTAATAATATAATTTTTATAAAGATAAAAATAAAGTATTATGTTAGAACTCAATGATTATCCTAATTATATTTTAAATTTTTTATATTTAAAATGAGATGTTTATCCAATATTTGATTATGTTTATCTGCAGTTAGTTACACGAATTCAATTATGAAGCTTTAATAAGTTTTACTTATACATAATTTACTTGCAATCATAAATTTTAAGTAATATGCATCAATAAACAGTATTTCGTGCATAAAAAATTGTTTTTAAGAGTTTTTCTTAAATGCTTTATAATATAGTATATATATATATATATATATACACACTAGGAATGTGCCCGTGCAATGCACAGAGTTGCAATATAAAAACTGCAACAAACGCCTTATGACGAAACACTAAAAACGACATTTGAAAAGGTCTTTCATAAAAAGCTTAGGGGGCGTTTGGTTCGCAGAATGATTTATGAATGAATGAAATCTGTCAAAAGAATTGGAATCTGGAAAGAATTGGAATGGAATGTTATCAGGTTTGACCAAGTGTTTGGTTGGCAGGAATGAAATTTAATCTGTCTAATGAATTGGAATCTGTCTGTTTGATTTGCAACA